GGGGGCCCCCCCCCCCCCCGACTCCCTGAGCAGGGCTGTGCACCCCTAGGACTGGCAGAGACTGGACACAAGGTAAGTCGTAAACTGTGTGACATTTACAGTGCAGGGCTGTGCTCTCCTAACTTCCAGGAGAGGAAATGACCACAGGCTGTGGCTATAACAAAACTAATAGTTTGGATACCTCATACTGAACATGACAGTGCAAAATTCTAAAAATTAATCCCAGCACTCGGGAGGCAGAGGCAGGCAGGTCTCTGTGAGTTCAAGACCAATCTAAAGAGTGAGTTCCAGGACAGCCAGGGCTACACAGAGAAACCCTGTCTCTCAGAAGAAAGAAAAGAAGGAAGAAGGAACAAACAAGAAATTTAAAAATTGTGGCATGCACTGAGCGGTGGTGGCACACGCCTTTAATCCCAGCACTGGGGAGGCAGAGGCAGGCAGATCTCTGTGAGTTCAAGGCCAGCCTGGTCTACAAGAGCTAATTCCAGGACAGCCTCCAAAGCCATAGAGAAACCCTGTCTGGAAAAACAAAACAAAACCAAAAACTGTGGCATGCATGGTGCCTCACACTATAATCACAGCACAGAAGAGGGTGAGCTAGGAGGCACACGTGAGTTTAAAGACAGCCCAGAACACAGAATGAGGTTAAAAAACCTTTTTAAAGGGCTACTTCTTTAAATGAAGGGAATCTACGACATTGTCTGGCAAGTCTGAAATGAACTCTTGAGACACCAGGAGTTGGGAGGACTGACAGCAGACAGGACAGTGGCACTGTGCCAGTAAGCCGCACTTGAGAGGCTGAGGCAGACTGGCAGGAATGAGACAGCCTCACTAAGACACTTCCTCTGCCTAAAAGCACAACTACATAGAACGACCCAGAGTAGGAAGGCAGGCTCTTGCAGCCAAGGTGAGTATGGCCAGGAATGTTCTTCCTGTAGGACCACGAGAAGAGCACACAGGAAACTCTAGCCTGACAGGCCCACCCACTCACCTCCATCCGGGACAGCAAGGTCTGTATATCCCTGATCATATGCTGAGCCATCACCAGCCGCACCCGGGGCTCACTCTATAATATAAGGAGGGCAGTCAGGGCAGGTCTGAGACGAAGCCATAAACTCCACAACACACTACACCAGCTCCAGGCATCTCCTCAGCCAGGTCCTCCCCCACCTCATGGCCTCCTTCTCCCAGATCCCCTTCCCTGACCCTCCCAGGCCCCTCAATACCTGAATTGGGGCCTGTTCCATGTTGATGTGAACATCCACAGCAGAGCCGTCACTCTGGGGAAAGGGTAAGGGAAGTTGCTCTGGGAGAAGCCACATACTAAGGCCTCCATGCTGCCAATTCCTTTTCTGGAACCCCTACCCTCTTTTCCTTAAAAATGGAGGCCAGTATAGGCCAGAGGACTTTCCAAACTCAAGCAAGCACCCAAGACACCTATCTTCTAAGCTCCCTGCAGCTGCCATAACCAAAGCTACTCTTCCCAACAAACCCTCCCACATGAGAAACACAGGCTCACAGGAAGATTGAAGGTTCCAACCATGACATAGCTGTTGGCATTCCGGTCATGAACAGAGGCCCCAGGCCCCCGAGTGCCAGGCAGGGTTGCCCCACCATGAGGAGCTGAGGCAGACCCTGTCCCAGAAGACGCTCCAGATGGGAGTTGTGTCTGAGGAGGGGCCCGTTCCACCAGGTGGATAACCTTTCCCCCAACATCTGCAGAAAGGAGATGCACACCAAAACTTGTAAGTATGTAAGCCCATGGCCTCTGGACAACAGCCTTAACCTCAAGACGCTCCCCTGGTCCCTTACTGTATTCCTGGAGCTTCTTATCATCTTGCAGAACCCGGCCCTGGTAGATGAGCCGTTGTTTCTCAGAAGGGATGCTGACAGAGGCAGCAATATGCTCCTTAAACTCCTTTACATTCATCTGAAAGGAGAGCCATGCATCAGAATCAGAAAGCAAAAGAAAGCAAAAACCAAGAGGGATGCCGGACTTCAGGTGCTGATCAAGGCCAAAAATCAAAGTGAGTTAGTAAGCCAGCCAACAAAACAAAAACAAAAACAACTTCAAAACAAACAAAAACCCAAAACAGACAATAAACAAAGCTGGGTATGAGGGGTGAGAGGGACACCAACAATAAGAAACAAACAAAGGCAGGCTGGGGAAATGTCTCAGTGGTTAAAAGCTAACAGCGTTCATACCCTCAGTTCAATTTTCAGCACCAATACTGGGCAGCAGCTCACAGCTACTGGTAAATTCAATTCTAGGGGACCCAGTGTCTCTGGCTTCTATGAACACTGGTGCCCACAGGTACTCACAAACCCCTGCCTCCACACAAACCAATACAAAATTAAAAATAAAAATAATCAGCAATTGGGAGGAAGAGGCAGTGAATCTCTTGTGAGTTGGAGGTCAGCATGGTCTACAGAGTGAGTTCTAGGACAGCCAGAACTATGTAGAGACTGTCCCCAAAATAAATAAATAAATAATCCAAAGAATAACCACCACAACAACAACAATAAATAATAAATGTTACAAGAAAAAAGCCTAACAGCTCTCCCTTTCTCTTTCTTGGCTTAGTATCTACAGATTCTGGTGATCCTTTTCTAAATATAAAACCATGCCAGGAGCTCATGGCTGTAATCGCAAACCTATAAACAGGTGGACACTGGCACAACCCTTTACTCCCATTGAGACAGAGGCAGGTGGATCTCTGTGGCTACCAAGCCAGCAAGACTACAAAGAGAGACCCTGACTTAAAATACAAAACAAGGGTCTAGAGAGATGTCTCAGAGGTTAAGAACACTTGTTGCTCTTGCATAGGATCAGCGTTTAATTCCTAGCACATGGTGGTTTACAAGCATCCATACATAACAGAGTAGGTGTTACGATTTCCTGACTTCCACAGGTTATAGGACCTAATATCCTCTTCTGACCTTCTCGGGCACCAACTGCACATACAGCACACATATGAACCTACAGACAAGACACTCACATACAAAATAAAATAAAAGCCAGGCTTGGGGGCTGGAGAGATGGCTCAAAGGTTAAGAGCACCGACTGTTCTTCCAGATGTCCTGAGTTCAATTCCCAGCAACCACATGGTGGCTCACAACCATCTGTAATAAGATCTGGTGCCCTCTTCTGGTGTGCAGATATACACGGAAGCAGAATGTTGTATACATAATAAATAAAATCTTAAATTAAAAAAAAAAAAAAAAAAGCCAGTCTTGGGCCGGGCGGTGGTACACGCCTTTAATCCCAGCACTTGGGAGGCAGAGGCAGGCAAATGGAGACCAGCCTGGTCTATAAGTGCTAGTTGCAGGACAGTCTCCAAAGCCACACAGCTACCCTGTCTCGAAAAACAAAACAAAACAAAACAAAAACAAAAACAAAAATGAATAAAGTCTTAAAAACATTTTTTTTGAAGCCAGGTGGTGGTGAACATCTTTAATCTTAGCAGACTCTGTGAATTCTAGGCCAGACTGCTATACAGATTGAGTTCCAGGATAGCAAGAGGTACACAGAGAAACCTGGGGGGATGACACACCTGATACACCCTCAAACAACCATTTCCACCAATGGCAAGTAATACTGGGTTGGGATCCAGGGTCTGGGAAGATAACTAATGAAGAAGTAAGAAGGGAGCCCAGGAGGTTTCCTAGAGTTCAGGGGTAGGTACTTTGTGCTAGGTCCAGGGTTCAACACCAGTAGGAACATCCCCCCCCCAATAAGGGGAGGAGGGAAAATGAAGAACCCAAACAAACCAACGTGGTAGCACACACCTGAGACCCCCAAATTTGGGAAGCAGAGACAGGAGGATGACGAATCCAAAAGACAATCAGTTCTAAGACACTTAAAACCCTACCTCAGCCAGGCAATGGTGGAGCACGCCTTTAACCCCAGCACTCGGGAGGCAGAGGCAGGCGGATCTCTGAATTTGAAGTCAGCCTGGTCTACAGATAAAGCTCCAGGACAGAGAGGGCTACACAGAGAAACCCTATTGGGGAAAAACTAAACAAAACAACCTAAAACAAGTCAGGTATGCTACACCTAAAATCCTAGCACAGAGGATGGAAGTCAGAAGGTCAAAGCCAGCCTGAGCTCTATGAGGTATTGCTGTCCCTACCACCCCCAAAAAGAATCTTCCAAATTAGACAGTAACTCTTGGTAAGGGCCATCAGACACCTACTCACGAAAGTGTACCCGGTGTTCCCAATGTTTTATAAAACCACGAAAGTGACCCGTTCATGATTTGTTCCCGAAAAGATTTATGCAGTAAAGACAAAGATAACTGTGCCCACACTGCACCCTGTAAGCTCGGGAGGTTCAAACCACCCCTCAAGATATTGGCAATCCTCCTGAACAGAGCACAAAAGCAGGCTCCCGGGATCTATAAATACAGTGTTAAGGCCGAGAACAAGTTGTTCAAAGACAGAGCAAACACAGCACACTTGTCTGAGGCCCCGGTGCTGCTTCCGGTCCCCCAGGCCGGAATCATCCGTGTCCCTGTGGGCAGAGGTCCGCCCAGGCCAGGTACAGATTCCTCCGCGGCATTTCCCTCTCCACCGAGCTCCACCGAGGTGAAGGCGGGCGGAACAAAACCTGCCTCACTCAACGGTAACCACACCTCCTCACTCAACAGGAACATCAGAGGTTCTACCGAGGGAGGGACAAAGGAGTCGGTGACAAGACAAGCAGGCTCGCCCCTCGGAAGGCACACGAGCGAAGCGGGCACACACACCGCCGCCTCTCCCCCCGCCTCACCTGGGCCCCCACAATGAACGTCCGAGTCTGAGAGTCCAGGGTCTTCACCAGGACCTCCAGGCTGTCGGGCTCCTCCATAGCGGTCCTGGCACTATCGCTCGGCTCCATGGCCGACAGCTCTCTACGGAGAGACGAGGGAGGGAGGGGGTGGTTCGCCCCCCCCCGCTCGCTCG